TGCGAGGCGACATGGGCTGTTGTTGCTGCGCGAACATCGGCGTGGGCGGCATGTGCTGCATCTGCGGTGTGAGGGGCGTCTGTGGCTGCGAGTGCGAGTGCGAGTGCGATATAGCGAGCGAGTGCGCATGGAGCGGCGGCACGGGACGAGGCTGCTGATGCTGCTGCGGAGGCGACATGTGGCGCGCGGCGTTGGGCGCAGGGACGGCCATCGGCGGCGAAACAGAGATGGTTGCCGTAGCGGGGACGGGTACCGCCTGCTTGTTGAGGATCTTCTTGGGCTGCACGGCGTTCCCGTTCGTCGTCACCGGAACAGCGCGCTGACCAGATCCCGACGCAGCGGCGTTGCTGGGGCCGGCATTCGCATTGCGCGGAGGCGTGGGCGACGTAACCGCCTGAGCGCGTGCGTTGTTCGCAATCTTGGCTGCAGCCGCAGCTCTCTGCTGCTGCTGCTGCTGCTGCAACTGCGCCGCCACACGCTCCTTCTCCGCCTTCTCCTTCGCCTCCTTCTCCTCTTTCTCCTTGAGTGCCTTCTTGCGTTCCCGCTCCTTCTCCTCCCTCTCCTTCGCCGCTGCCAACTGCGCCGCTTTATCCTTCGCCGCCTTGGCCTCGCGCTCCTCCCTCGACTTGCGCTCCTTCTCCTCGCGGTCCCGCCTCTCCGCCTTGCCCTTCTCCTCCTTCTCGCGGCGCTTCCTCTCGCGCTCCGCCTCCTTCTCCTTCTCCTCCGCCAGCCGCTTCCGCCGCTCCTCCTCCTTCCTCGCCTTCTCCTCCTCCTGCGCCTTGCGCGCCGTCTCGCGCCTAACGCGCTCCTCCTCGCGGCGCTTGCGCTGCTCCTCCTCCGCAGCAGCCTGCTTCGCCTTAGCAGCAGCCTCCTCCGCAGCCTTCTCAGCAGCGCGCTGGGCCTCCTTCTCCTCCTTCGCCTGCTTTTGTTGCCTGCAAACGCATCAGCACAAGTCTCTAGGGTCCCCATTCCGCCCGCCCCGTCGGAGCGGTGCATCATTCCTTTCCGTCTCCCTCGAGCACATTCCGCCCCGACGAGGCGCCGCCGTTCCCGAAACGCAAGACAAAGCCGAAACTCTCCACTCACCGCTTCTTATCCTTCTTCTTCTGGTTCTGGCTCTGCTTCTTCATCTCCTTCTCGCGCTCGCGCTCGTCCTCGTCCTCGAGCTCGCGCAGCAGCTGCAGCTGCCGGTCCTGTGCCACGCGCTCGCGGTACGCCTGCAGCATCGGCCGCGGTCGCAGCGCATTCGGGGAGCGAGTGAGGGAGCGAGGTTTGAGGAATAAAAGCAAATCAGCCGCGGGCGAGGAAGCGAGGAGTTTCGTGGTTGCGCAAAGCGAAGAGTCGAGCGCGGGTCGAGGGCGAGATCGCGTGCGCGTCGGCGGATCGAGTTGGAGGGAAGGGAAACGAGAAAATGAAATCAACGAAACAATCAGCAATGCTTCCACGGAACAGAAGGATAAACGCACCTTCAAGACACGCTGCTCGAACATCCTCGCGGCGAAGATGCTGAACATGCGCTTGCCCTCCTCCATTTTTTGTTCCTCCGTCATCGCCTGGATGTTACCCGTCAGAATGAAAAGAAAGAGGAAGCACAACGAGAATGGAGCGGATACACACCTCCTCGCCCCCCTCGTCGTCCTCCTCGTCCTCCTCCCCGCTCTCCCCGTCGTCGTCACTGCGCAAAAAAAAAAAAAAAATTGTCAGCGGGTGTTCCTCCACGGCCACAATTCGAATGAAAAACACAAATATCCCTCTCCGATGGGACCCGCCACGGCACCAAGGTAATAGAACGCGCAACTCACCCACTATCCCCACTCTCCCCCTCATCGTCCTCCTCGCTCTCGTCCTCGCCTTCCCCGTCCGACGAGCCGTCGCCGTCCCCGTCGAGCGACGAGGACGAGTCGTCCTACACGGCGGTGTTAGCGGTTACGCCGAAAAGCCACAAGGGAGGGCAGGAATGAGACCCAACACGCACCTCGTCGCCACTGACACCCCCCGCGGCCTCCTCTTCGCGGGCCAATCGCCGTTCGGCCTGGATGGAGATCAGATCAGCGTTCAGTCGAGGTACGAGAGGAACAAGTAGACTCGGAAATGCAATGTGCGTCGAAAAAAAACGAAAGACCCAAGTGTGGGATTAGTGTCGGGTGACCCGAACCCGCCGCACGGCATTGCGCAGGACGGAAGCGACGAAAAAACCATGCAAAAAAGGAAGGAAGTGAGAAGTAAAAAAGAAAAGAAGAGGTGCGGTATGTCTGGAGAGCTCCCCCCCAAAAAAGACCAAAGAGAGAAGCACCCACCAGCTGCTCCATCATCTCCAAAAACTTGCGCCCGTCGTTCTTGAGCAGGTCGTCCGCGACGGTCAGGATCGAGGTCGGGCCTGGGGAAAGTGCGTTAGCGTCATATCATATCATACCATACTATACTGCGGTTCGGGGCGGGGCAAGGTGGAAGTGGAAATAAAGCAGGGTGGAAAGAAACGCAAGTGTCCTAGTCCGATTCACGGGAGGTACAGGCCCGCCTCCCGCCGTGCAATGAATGAATACAATACAATCCAATCCCGCCGCCCACGTGGCGGTGCCTCGAAATGGGTGGATTGCACCCACACTCAGGACCCAGGACCCGGCCGGGATCGGACGGCACAGACACGGCGGGAAAACGAAAACAAAGGAGCAAAGGAACGAAGGAACGAAGAACGAAGAACGAAAGACGGGGAATGAAAAATGAAGGCAAGGAGGAAGGAGGACGGGCCATCCCGCCGATCAATCCCGCCCCTGCGTGGCATGCCTCCGTCGGATGGGCGGCACATGCGTGTCGTGTGCACTGCAGCCCAGTTGAAAGCAACGAACGAAAAGCCTCCCGGTCGAACAGAAAAAACACCCAAACTGAAAAAAAGAACACCAAAAAAACAAAGAACACTCACCCCCAACCCCCGCGCCCACGGCGGCGGTGATCTTGCCCTTCATATCCACCGCGCCCCTCCCCCGTGCGTTGGCAGCGGGCGTTCCGTTGGCGGGCGCCCGGGGCGCGGGCTGGTTGGCCGCGGGGGCGGGGCGGGGGCGGCCTGCATGACATGCGCGTAAGGTCAGCTCAGACAACACAAGCGGGAAAGGCGCACCGTTGACCGCCGGCGGCGCGAGCGGCAGCCGCCCCTCCTCGCCGTCCTCGCCCTCGCCCTCCTCCTCGTCCTCCAGCCCGTCCTCGCCCTCCTCCTCCTCCTCGCCCTCCTCGCCCTCGTCCTCCAAGTCGTCGTCCGGCGGCTCCTCGTACAGATCGTCCTCGTCCTCCTCCTCGGTGCGGTTGTTCACCGCCGCGTTGGCGGCGGGCGGTTTCCGCTGCTGCTGCCGCCTCCGCCCGCGCCTGCCCTTCTTCCCCGGGCCCGTCCCGCCCTTCGGATGGCCCGGGCTGTTTTGGTTGTTCGGATTGGGGCTCTTGTGGTGGCTGGAGAGCAGCGCGGGCGGGGGGTAGCCCGCGACGACCGCGCCGTAGCGGTCGACCTCGACGCTGCCGGGGAAGGGCCCGGGGCCGGGCGGCGGGGGGAGGGTGCGGTTGGACGAGAGGTACTGCTGCTGGTAGAGCGCGTACTGCTCGAGGTCCTCGTAGTACGCGTCGTACAGCACCTGCAGCTCGTCCTCGATGGCGGTTCTGTGGCAGCGATCAGCCGATATGCGCAGCGATGAAAGAGAACGGACCGTTTCCTGCCGCAGACCGCACACGAGCAGCTGTGCTTCTGCTCCTCCTTCATCTTCCGCAGCACCGTGTCCTTCTCCACGCGCACGAGGTCGCGCCGCTCGTCCTCCGCCAGCGCGAGCCAGAAGTCGCGGATCCGCTCGCGCTCCTCGCTGCTGCTCGTGCTCCATATCTTGTTGTTGTTCGCGCTGCTGTTCGCGGCCGGCTGCTTGCCCTTGGCGGTCGCCGTGGCGGGGGCTGCGGCGGCGGGCTCAGGCGGGTACCCGCCCGCGGCGCTGACGGGGGGCCTTGGCGGCGGCGCGGGGCGCTGCGGGGCGGGGCGGGGGTGGCGCCGGCTGGCTGGTAGGCCATGGGCTTCTTGCCGATGGAGACGCTGGAGGGCGGCGGCGGGGGCGTGGGGGCCATCTGCTGCTGCTGCGTGGTCCTTGTGTGCGTTGTCGCCGAATCTGTCTTGACGGCGAGGGACGACACTGAAAAGTATTAGTCAGCCTTGCAAATCACGTGCACATACATGCCCACCGGCAGTCCGGTCGACGGACGACGGGGCCAGCGCCGCCGCTGCCTCGCGCACGCGCGCAGCGAACGAGGGGTCCGTGCGCACCCGCCGCCAGTACTCCGAGTCGTCGTCGTCGTCGCCGTCGTCGCCCGCCGCGTCGCCGCCCTCGTCCTCCGACCCCCCGCCCAGCGACCGGTACAGCTCCTTCGCCGTCGCGAGCAGCTCGTTCGTCGCAGCCAGTGCCGCAGCCGTCAGCCCCGTGTCGCCCTCAATGTCCGCGTCTTTTCACTCGGACCTCCTTCTCGCGATGCTGCTGTCTCTTCTTTCCCATCTCGCTTGTGCGTAATCTAAGCGGACATGAGGGGATGCATCCTAGTACGACTGCACACACCTTCAAGTACACACGCTTCGCTCTCAGTAGCCCTCTGACCCTCTTCTGCCCTCTTGGCCTCTTCGCGACTCTCGAGCTTGTAACAGCGTCGACTTGGGATGTAGAGTAGCGTAGCGTATGACGTTTGTACCAGGGCGATGTAGCAGCGACGACAAACGGTGGTTCGACGTTCACTTCAGGTCAGACGCGCCTTCGGACGCGTTCGGTCTTCGGCGTAAGCGATCAACAGCCTCGATGCCAAACTCGTGTCAAGTCCCGCAATCAGATAATGATTATCTTATCGGGATACACTCGTGGCGGCGGGAGATGGGTCAGGAAGGAAATTGGATACAAAATTGGTTGAAGTAATAATGCACCGAATTGGATATGGGTAGATAGGTGCATGAAAAATGAAGATGTGCAAAAAACCATTTCGCTGTCATAGAATGACCTGACCCCGATTCGAACGAGGATCTCCTGCCAATTATGCGAAGAGCTCCCACCTATGCATAGCAGGTGTGTTGCTACACCACCAGGTCTTTCTCCCCTCTTCTGCTCCCCAATACCACAGTATGATTTTTGTCCTGGTAGATATTCAACATCCAAAGATACATCCTCATCACTCCGAGTCTGGACCACCAAAACGACCAATTCTCAAACAGCTACGTACCAGACACATCTGTACTCATCAGGGAGCGAGCAAGCACACCACGGGCTAACCTTGTAAAAAAAATACCCGATTCACTGGAAATAACCTGGCCCAGAATCGAACGGGGATCGCCTGCAAGCTTCTTCGGCTGTTATCTAGGTGTGCTGTACACCACCAGGTCTTTCTCCCTCTTATTTTCTCCAATACCGCAGTAAATAAAAACAAAGAGCTCCAATATTCAACACCCAAGATACATCCCAATGCCACTCCGCAGATCATCGAAAAATCAAGAAACCAACCCCCAAACTCGGGTACGTACCGGATACAGCTGTATGTACACGTCGAAAAAAAATCAGATACACCACGGACAGACCTCGTAAAAAAACAAACTCAGAAATGACCTGACCCCGATTCGAACGGGGATCCCCTGCCAATCATGTTCAATATAGAAAGCGACCATGTGTAACAAGTGTGTTGCCATCCACCACCAGGTCTTTCCACCCTACCCTGGTCCCTTGCTTTACTCCACACTTATGCAGGCCTTTTATTATTATTCTCAATCAAACCTCTGCAGTTAAACCACATGTACACTTATGCATACTTCGAACGTGGTGGCCACATCGGTGTTCCCTGCCTTGAGCTTTAAGTTTGGAACACCACAGGACCGAAGAAGTATCATAGTATGAGACACAGCTATCAATATCCGAACAAAAACACCCGCCGGCGGAACTTGTAGAAAAAAATACGAAAGTCTCAGGTCTGACCATGACCTGGCCCCGAATCGAACGGGGTTCTCCGGCCGAATCATTCTGCAAAGAACTATGTGCAACAGGTGTGTTATCATACACTACCAGGTCTTTTCACTCTTCTACTGTCCCGCCTTATACACCTGTCCAGAATCAAAGACTCCCAGGATTCAATGTCGAAACAAATACCTCGCCGCACTGGAGCCGGGTGACCAAAAAACCGAGCAAATATCATCATCTGTTCTACATACGCCGTACAGATCAAGCACACACCTGAATACCCTCGAGTTGGGGCAAAAACTTTCCAGAAATTGGACATGACCTGGCCCCGATTCGAACGGGGATGTCCTGCTGATACTGTATCACAAGGGTTGGCAAAAATATAGCAGGTGTGTCATCTTACACCACTAGGTCATGTTCTTTCTATTCTCATCCCATACCCTATGCCTTAATTACACTCACCCAGCATCCAATAACTCAACTCAACAAAAGTGCACCGTGTCACACACAACTAAGAGCAAAATTCAGGAACTTTGGAAGGAGCACTGCCTATTGTGTAGACCAACAGTGTGTGAAAACACTCACCTGATCAGTAGAGCTCAACAGAAAAAATGATACTCTGGCAGACCATAACCTGGCCCCGAATCGAACGGGAATCTCCTGCCAAATAGCAAGCCGAGATGGAATAATGTACTTATAGCAGGTGTGTGAAAATACACCACCAGGTCTTCCTACTCCCATTCTTGTCCTCTGCTTTATTCAACATTTTTATTAGGCCTTCCGGGTCTCGATCAGCCTCGGTAGTTTCTTTCAACCACATCTAGAATGTCCCCATTTCCGTGTTCCCTGCTTTGAACTTTGGAACACTACAGAACCGAAGAAGTAAGTGAGACACAGCTATCAGAAGAAAAACACCTCACCGGCTGAACTTGTAAGAAAAAATATGAAAGTATGACATCTGGTGATAAACCGACCCCGAAATCCACCACCAGGTCTTCTTACTTCTATTGTCCCGTCTCATCCACGTGTCCAGAATCAAACACTCCTTTCGGAGATGTCAAAAATCCAACACCTCGCCGCACTGGAGCCGGGTGACCAACAAATCAAGCAAGTATCACACAAATATCATCATCTGTCCTATGTTTATACATACAGATCACAGTACACACCTAAATACCCCCAAGTTGGGGCAAAAGCTTTGCGGAACATATCATGACCTGGCCCCGATTCAAACGGGGATGTCGTGCTGACAGTGTATCACAAAACTATACATAGCAGGTGTGTTATCTTACACGACCAGGTCTCTTCTTCTCATCCTCATCCCATATCCTATGTTATGATTATCCTTGGCAACTCAGAAAGTGCACCTTGTCGAATGTAACAGCTGAGACAGGCTACTTATCCCATACATTGAAACACCAGAACAAAAAGTGGTAACTTTGTTGATCCACGACCTGGCCCCGAATCGAACAGGGATGTGCTGTCAAACTACATATTATTCAAGCTTGCACCTTTATGCATGGCAGGTGTGCAACCAAACACCACCAGGTCTTCCTATTCCCATTCTTGTCCATTCAACATTTTTATCAGGTATGCAGTCTCAATCGGCCTCGGCACATATAAGTAGAATGTCTCCATTTCTGTGCTCCCTGCTCTGAACTTTGGAACACCCCAGAACGGAGGAAGTAACATGCAACTCAACCAAGAAAAAACACCCCACCGACTGAACCTGTTGGAAAAAATATGAATGTATGACATCTGGTGATAACCCGACCCCGATTCGAATGAGGATCTCCTGCAAACTCTTTGACTGTTATCTCTGTATAGCAGGTGTGTTGCTATACACCGCCAGGTCTTTCCTCCCCTCTGTTCCCAATACCACAGTATGATTTTTGTGCTGGTAGATGACTCGAATATTCAACATCCAAAGATACATCCTTACCACTCCGAGTCCGGACCACCAAACGACCAACTCGCAAACAGCTACGCACCAGATACACCCGCACTCATCAGGGAGCAAGCAAGTACCCCATGGGCTAACCTTGTAAAAAAAGACCACATTCATTGTCAATAACCTGGCCCCAAATCGAACAGGGATCTCCCTGCAAACTTCTTTGGCTGCCATCTAGGTGTGCTGCTGTACACCACCAGGTCTTTCTCCCTCTTATTTTCCCCAATACCCCAGTATGATTTTTGTGCTGGTAGATGACTCAAATATTCAACATCCAAAGATACATCTCAATGCCACTCCACGGACCATCGAAAAATCGAGAACCCAACCCCCAAACTCGGGTCCGTACCGGATACAGCTGTGCACATCGAGAAAAAAGCAGATACACCATGGGCAGACCTCGTAAAAAAAAAATTAATGCTCATCGGAAATGACCTGACCCTGATTCGAATGGGGATCCCCTGCCAAATTATGCTCTAAAACGGATATGATGTATGTAACGGGTGTGTTGCCATCCACCACCAGGTCTTGCCACCCTTGCTTTATTCCACACCTCTCCAGGCCTTTTTTTGTTACTCTCAATCAAACCTCGGCAGTCAAACCACACATATGCATACTTTGAACGTGGTGGCCACATCGGTGTTCCCTGCCTTGAACTTTGGAACACCACAAAACCGACGAAGTATCATATGAGACGCAGCTATCGATATCCGAGGAAAAACACCCGCTGGCGGAACTTGTAGAAAAAATACGGAAGTATCCGTCTGACCATGACCTGGCCCCGAATCGAATGGGGCTCTCCTGCTGAATAATCTGGCACTGCATCATGTGCAACAGGTGTGTTACCATACACCACCAGGTCCTTTTACTCTTCTATTGTCCCACCTTATCCACCTGTCCAGAATCAAAGACCCCCAGGCTTCAATGTCGAAACAAATACCTCACCGCACTGGAGCCGGGTGATCAAAAAATTGAGCAAATATCATCATCTGTTGTACGGCCGTACAGATCAAAGCACACACCTGAATACTTACCCCCGAGTTGAGGCAAAAAGTTTCCAGAATATGACCATGATCTGGCCCCGATTCGAACGGGGATGTCCTGCTGACACGGTATCACAATTGGCGAAAATATAGCAGGTGTGTTATCTTACACCACCAGGTCGTGTTCTTTCTATTCTCATCCCATACCCCATGCCTACCCAGCATCCAATAACTCAACTCAACGAAAGTGCACCGTGTCACACACAGCTAAAAGCAAAATTCAGGAACTTTGGAAGGAGCACTGCCCATCGTGTAGACCAACAGTATGTAAAAACCTGATCAGTAGAGCTGCTGAACAGAAAAATGATACTCTGGCAGACCATGACCTGGCCCCGAATCGAACGGGAATCTCCTGCCAAACGAAAAGCAGAAATTGCATTAATGTATAGCAGGTGTGTGAACATACACCACCAGGTCTTCCTATTCCCATTCTTGTCCTCTGCTTTATTTCCTTTTTCGGGAAGCGAGTTCCATTCTTGATTCCATCAACAATGGGACTCGCGTAATTATCCAATGCCGATACCTGGCAATATTTGGTGCCCACTCAGCTGCTCAAGTTGCGAGTATCTGAGCCATGGAATCTTTAAACTGGAAAGTATATAGATAGTACAATTGAAGAAAATATTGGAGTTGAATTCATCAGCTGCTATGGTAATTGCATCACGAACCTTGCGTTTATTGGCATATGCTGGCTGTTATCTGCTACACGGCCTCCACCATAAGCCATCACAGTCGAAGGTGCTGTTTTGGAGGTGGAATTGTTAATGATATAGAGACTAGGAATAAATTCAACCATACCATTGAGAAGTTTTTGAACTGTGAGACCCGTAAATCCTGCTGCTTGGATGGTTATCTCAAGCTTCCTTGTGTCTTTGACACTCAGTTTTGTATGCGGGTGAGCAGGGTGATTATAGGGGTTGCGTAAAAATCAACGACATGTGTATAAGCTGTTGATTGTTTTGAGGCAGCCGTAAGAACAGAGCTAATCCCACGTACAACAATTGCCCAGTCCAACTTGCAGGTAAACTGTGAGAACACACTGCTCGTTGATATTGTCATCTGTGGTCAGTAATTTGCCATTGTTCTTCATTAGGTAGTCCAAAGTATTCTCGTTGATGTTTGGCGGGACTTCCCAATAGATATGGTCCCAACACTGTTCTCTGGACCAGCAGGAACACTCAACAAAGAAATGTTTTCCGTACACAGATGGCCCCTGAGTCTTGTGCATTAGTATTAGGGTGACATTTGGCAAGCCCGACTTACATTTGAGTGTGGGATCAGAGTCGCAACACCTTCACATTCCACCTTGCATTTCGACCTCACAATCCAGCCACAAAATCTAGAACAGCTCAGTGAAAGACTCCTGAACAAAATTGAATGCACTGTGAGATGATTCCCCAGACTGAGGCTGCTTCTTTCTCATTTGCATCCAGCTCGTGGTTCCAAAGCTCTTGCATTACCTCCATGTCCGGCTTGTACCGCTCACACCCCGGAAAGGGCTCTGGGTCGATAAATTCACAAACATTTACCCCATTGCAAATGAAGTGGCAAGAGCAGCAGTAAATGGGCTGGGTTGGATTGGGACCTAGATTGAAAACCCAGATATCACCCTTTGTCTTTCCGGTTGAGCCATGCCAGGACTCCTGGTCCTAGGGAATATGCGAATATGTGCAAACAGGGTAGGACTACATTTGACACACTTGTAATTGGATGAATGCATCATGATGCAATTACCATAGCAGCTGATGAATTCA